AGGTTACTGCTCATTAAGAGTCTTGTGTAGACACACGCTGAGAAAGGTAGGACACTTCCTAGTTTTGATGTGCTACTGGTGCATGCTGGACAGGTCACCTTATCTGACTACACCAGTGGTGAGCAATTATTTCGGGTGGAGGGCCGCTTACTGAGTTTTGGCAAGCCATCAAGGGCATCATGACAGGCAGCCAGGGGCAGATAAATATTAATTTTCTAAATTTTTAGAGGCTCTGCGGGCCACACAGAATGGCCTGGCGGGCCGTGTCTGGCCCACGGGCCACATTTTGCCCACCCCTGGACTACACTGTGATACCCGTCACCTGATAATTGCCTGAAAAGCACCAGAAAACATGTTGACAAAGGGAACAATTGGAAGCAGGAAGACTCATCTTTCAGGTCTTGGCATCTCTTATTTGAGGTTAATGAAGCCAATAAACAAACAAGCAACACTGGTCCCATCAACTCCCTTTCTATAGCTCTCTTCCTTTGCTGGTAGAAAAGAGTCAGCCTTTAAGATGGAGGGCTGTCACTGCCCACCACCTCTGCTGGCAGCCAGATGAAAGCAGAAGTAGATGCAAAAGAAAGACGTTGGTGTGAAACTGCACATGACATTAGGTTTGGTTTCCAGATGAAAGGGGAATCCCACTCCCACCCACCTACTCGCACAACCGCCCTCACCAGGACTACTATCCCACCCCCTCACTAGGGCTACTACACCTTACGCCCTTTGGGCCTCAGGAGTCTGACAACGTGCCTGGAGCCCTCACCTGTCCCCTCTATGGACATGGGGGTTGAGGCTATCTGGTGCCCCATAATCACCTTTCCCTAAGGAGGCACCGTGTGGCTGTTCTTGGAGACCCCCCCACCACAGGCAGCCCCACCCATTGGCAATGCATAGGGGGTGCACGTGGGTGCACGTACACCCCCTGAGCATGGCGGTGCACCCCCTGTGAAAAGGCGCCACCGACACAGCTGGCAGTGCCTGTGGGTGGTCGCCACTCACCCCCCCCAGCCACCGACACCGCCGACAGCATCTGTGGGCTGTCCGTGATTGCTGCTGGCCACTGCCGGTGGCATCTGCGGATGGTCGCTGACCCCTGGTCAGCACTTGCCATGCCCCGCTTGCTGCTGACAGTGCTGCGGCCACCTGCAGGAGCACCCCGCTTGCTGCCGCCATGCTCCCACCATCAACAACTGCAGCTGCACTCTGTTTATATTGAGGCTGCCCAGCCCCATCCTCCAATCCAGGAGCCCTCTTGCAGTCACATGACCACCTCATTAGGTGGTCACACTGCACCTGCCAGCTGCTACAAAGCCTGCTCCAGCCTCTTAAAGTGGCAGGCACCAAAGGTGCCCCACCACACAGGTATGTACTGGATGAGCATCACAGCAAGCAAGCCCCACTTCCTTGGGAATCAACCATGAGTCATGGCTTATAAGGACCCAGTGGTTATTATGGATAACAATTTAGATATGAGACAAGAGCATACTGGGCTGTATTAACAGGGCCATTGCTCGCAGTCAAGGGAAGTGATGATCCCACTCTATTCAGCACTGGTGGGGCCTTGACTAGAGCACTGTGCCCAGTTTTGGGCCCCACACTTCAAGGAAAATGTGGACAAATTGAAGTCCAGCAGAGAGCAACTAAAATGATTAGGGATTTGGGAACCCAGACTTACTTAGGAGGAAAGGCTAAAAGAAGGTGGGCCATTTAGTCTGAAGAAGAGAAGACTGAGGGGGTGGATTTGAGAGCAGCCATCAAATACCTGACGCCTGGTTATAAAGGGGATGGAAACAGGCTGTTCTCTGTGGCTGCAGAGGGCAGGACTGGAAAGCCTTGGTGGTCAATTGGAAAAGAAAGAACAGAAAAAGAAATACAAGTCTCTGCAGTTTCTATTCCTTCCTTTGAGTTCCTCGGCCAGCTTTGCAGAGGCTCTGCAGTCACATCTTCCTACTTCTGCAAGTACCAGTATATCCCTTCCCATCCACTCGCATCACCATCTCCATGACAGACCCATACAAGCAAAGATAAAAATAGACCAATGGAGAGGAGGAAGGAACAGAGAACCAACTAGCCCCAGCCTATCGCGTGCACAAAACCGAAAATGGAGCAACAGGAAAACCAGTACGAGCATTTCCCCCAGTGGCTTTCTAATCATGCCAGCCATTTCTTGTAAACTGCACATGAAGGGTTAGAGATTTCTAAGTACTCCTGTCCATTCAGCAGAGCAATGGGAGCTTTTTGGGCCTTAGAAATCAAGTGATCTGTTTGTGGATGGGCCCAAGAAGGTGGACCCGTATGACAGGGCTAACTGCTCAAGAACCTAGCCCGAAAACCCTCAAGTGGTCAATGCTGGGCCCAGGACCAGAATGGTCAAAGAGCAAGGAAGCCCACCGCAAGGGATGGCCAGAGCCAGGGGCCTGGAGTCCCGACTGGTCTAGAAGCAAGGCCAGGGCCTATGAGGCCAAAGGTCCTGGAGGGGGCCACTGCCAAGAGGGAAAGGGGTCTAGGGAGTTTGTAGCCCCACATGACAGTGGAGGTTAGGCCGCCTGACTAGGAGGGATTCAGGTTGGGGTCTGACATGTCAGACTGGAATGTAATGGGGCTCAGTGTGGAGCTGGAGCCATGTAGGGATGCCATCTGTGAAGCATGGGACATGGTGTAGGGGTGGCATGAAGCCATGTATTACGTCCTTGGCACTGGGCAGTAAATGGGCAGCCTCTTGCCTTATAAACAATTACTTATTAAGTTACAACGAAGATGTGGCAGGAGAGACAGGTAGGCAGACTGCCCTAAGCGGGGGGCAAGCCGACGATTGGACCAGCCGCGAGACAGCCCCGTCACGGTATCCAACACCCCGCATGATTAAGCCCTGGCCTTGCCTCTAGACCAGTCGGGACTCCAGGCCCCTGGCTCTGGCCATCCCTCATGGTAGGTGTCCTTGCCCTTTGACCGTTCTGGTCCTGGCCCAGCATTAACCAGTATCCAACACCGAAGATTAAGCTCTGTGGGCCCCGATCGTGCTGTGCTGCCTGCCCTGCCTGGTCCATACAGCCTAGTCAGGCCAGCTTGTCCACCTCTCTGGGTGGCATTTCCACCTGACTGTTCTAGACGGAGACCATAAAAAACTCCTGGCTCTGATCATCCCTGCATTCAGCACTGCCCAGCAAGGCGGGTCCCCCAGAGCCAGGAGATTGGCTTAAACATTAAGTGCTTTTTTTATATGCCTCCCAGCCCCTAAGCTCTCAGGATGCACTGGGGAGCTGGAGGCCAGTGAGACCCTCCCAGGAGGATGAAGGGCAGGAACCTAACTGGTTCCTTCCTCCACCTTTTGTTATTAAGCAGCACCAAGCAGCTTGGGCAGGGACCGTCTCTGCCACTCAGCATCGGTTACCATGATGTCTAGAATCTGAAAGCGGAGAGTCACATGAAATAACGTGACTCCAGGAGCCGGTGCTTTAGTCACATCCCAAGCTTCAGCTAATATCCACCAGAGCTGGCAACATCACAAGACGTGTGTTCACATGGGAGTGTATTCAACAGCTGATAGGGTTCAGAGCAGGGATATCCGGACACTGGAGGGTGCATTTACATTTTGCAAACAGCCTGAGGACTAGGGAAGCCCAATTACCTAGAGACCTGACCAGACAGGTACTCCTGGGTGCCCTAAATCAGTGGTAGTCCTGGGTGCCCTAAATCAGTGGCACTCCTCATTAGACTCCTCATTAGTCTCAAGTCCTGCCTTGGACAATGCAGATTTTCGCTTTCACTTGTTTCTTGACTATGGGGAAAATAACATTAGGGTAATTCTTTTGTTGCAAAGAGCCCAGAAAACCACAATGTTTCTGACACTCTGGTTTCCTATTTGAAATCTCTGGGTTTATATCATGACTCATGGGCAAGTATTTGCCCATTTAACAGTGCCACGATTGCATGGCACCTTTACAACAGTGGGTCGTAACCTTTTTAGACCCGAGGCCACTCTTGGAAAGCACCACTCTTAATTTTCTATCATTTTTTGACAACAGAAAAATACTAGAGCAATTCTGCTAATGCAAAGAGATCAGCCAGCCCCAGCAGGGCAGCATGGGTTGAGTACTCTGGGTTCCTGTTGGATCCAGCAACTAACCTTTCTCCTGCCCTGCTGTTGTATGTTCGCTCCTCCTGGACATGCAGCTCCTATTTCACAGCCCTGCAAACAGTTTTTAACTCATTCCAATCATGTTCTTTTTGTATTTGCTTCCATTTTAAACTGAATCACACACCCGAGACCCCTAGCAAAACTTCTGGCTTCTTTTTACCTGGAGAAAAATAGGTGCTGTCTTATATGGGCTGCCCTACAGCCCCCACTGTTCAAAATCCTAGATCTGCCCTTGCATGTTTTCATCCCTAACAGCACTCTTGAAAGGATCTTGGGGCAGCCCCGGAGAATTAACAGCCAAGAAGGCTAATGGCATCCTGGGCTGCTTTAGTAGGAGCATTGGAAATTATTCTTCCCCTCTATTTGGCACTGGTGAGGCCACATCTGAGGTCCTGTGTCCAGTTGTGCCCCCCCAACTACAGAAAAGATGTGGACAAATCAGAGGAGGGCAACGAAGATTGTTCAGGGGCTGGGGGACATGCCTTGTGAGGAGAGGCTGAGGGAACTGGGTTTATTTAGCCTGGAGTGGGGGGATTGAATAGCAGCCTTCAGCTCCCCGCAGGGGGTTGCAAAGAAGATGGAGAGCCAGGCTGTTTTCAGTGGGGGCAGATGACAGAACAAGGAGCAATGGGCTCAAGCTGCAGCAAGGGAAGTTGAGGTTGGATATTAGGAGCAATTTTCTCACTTGCAAAGCGCTGGAAGCCCTGGCTGGGTTGATGCAGCCCTGGCTGGGATGGTTTTGAAGCCCTGGCTGGGATGATGCAGCTGGGACTGGTCCTGTTGAGCGGGGGGTTGGACTAGATGTCCCAAGGTCCCTTCCCACCCTCCTTTCTGCGGCTTTCCGGCAGCTGCAGCCTGAAAAGCACCGTGCAAACGAAGAGCCTGGGGAAGCCAGGGCGGAGACTGCCAGATCCCAGCCCCTGCCTGGCCCCGGGAAGCAGCTGACAGCCCGGGGAGGCGGCGCTGGAGCAGCAGCGGGTGAGTGCGGGCTCCGGGGCGACCTCACCAGGGCAGGGGAGGAGCAGGGTGGCCCCTGGCACCTGCTGCTGCTCGCCCTAAGCTTGCTGCCTGCTCCACCTGGGCAGGTGCCAGCACTGCCCAGCAAATGCTGGCAGGGAAAGGGGCCCCCTGCTCCGCGCCCCATGGGTGGCATGGGGGTGACACCTTGCAGCGGATGACCGGAGCCCCTGGCTTACCGCAGATCCCATTACTGCTGACTGTGTGCTCTGATCCCCGCTGCTCAGGGGGGCTGGGATTTTAGAGGTGAGGGGCTGGAGCCGCTTGGGAGGGTTTGAGCGCACCTTCGGCGCCCCTCCGCTTGCTGCTTCCCAACAGGTGCCGAGCACAGGTTCCTCCGTGGCCGTGCCCCGAGGGCCACGCAGGCTGCGGGCACACCTAGCATCCAGCCTCCTCCAAAAGGATGCCCGCTGACTTAGGAGCCGTGCGCCGGCCTCACCCGGGGGCAGACCAGCAGGCTGGTCAACAGGGAGTCTGGGGAGCCTACAGCCCCCAGGGGCAAGCCACAGACTTTTTGCAGAGGTGGCCTCCGTTATCAGTGGGAAGTGGCCGTGTCTTCTTCTTAGGAGCCCTCCCCAAACTGTGTGAATGGCTCTGTAGACACGGGTGGGCTTGCTTTGCATCAAGCGTCGGGGTCCTGCCACCCCTTTTGCTGCAGTTTCTCTTTTATTGATACCTTTGTGGACAAGGCTTGGTTTCTCATCAGTTTAATCGGTCATTTCCATCAGTGTTTCTCCAGCCCTGGGTTGCAAGAGTATATGAAAGAGTCTCAAACAAACTTTAAAAATGGATCGACAAGCTTTTAAAATGGAGAAAAAGCATAAGAAACTGTGGCTTTTCCCTTGCAGGCTGGCCCCCCTGCCCCAAACACCCCATGCAGCCACCCCGCTACCCGGCATACCGGGGGGCTGGGGCTGGGAAGCTGGGGGCAGCAGGTCGGGAATGAAGGGCACTGGGTCGGGACTGGCCATTGATGTTTACAAATGGGTCCTTGTGTATAAAAAAGCTTGAGAATGGCTGATTGAGATCTGATTTCTGACTGACAGCTAACTGGCAACTCTGGGTGAGATATAAAGATCTCTGGCAGAAATCAGGGCAGCACCGTGGAGAAACGCAGACTATGGGGCTGCATTTCTGGATGGGCAGCTTTTAGCGGGGTATCTAATTTCCCTTCCTCCTCCAACTTTCTGACCACCTGATTGCAAAATGAGCCCAGCGCTTCCTCTGTGTTCAGCGACCGAGCTGTAAATCTCATCGCAGCCCACAGCTCGTGCGCAATCACAAGGCATCATTCCCAAGGTAGCACGTTGTGTGGCATGAAGAAATCATCCATGCTCTACACTGCTCAGAGATTTAATTCCAGCTCCTCTAATTGCTGAAGCCCCCTTTCTCCGTCTGCCCTTTCCTCCTACAACCATCAGCAAAGGCTGTGATTAAATTAAGCCCCTCACTGCCTCTCAAGGCTGAAAGCACTGTAAACAAATGCCTGAGTCCTGGACCTTTTCCAGCTCTCCTTCTAGATGAAGGGCTGAAACTTCACAGCAAGTATTTAAAGAGACCTGGACAAGGAAGGCACTTAAGTCTGTGCAACTATTCCAGCAGTAATGTACTTTGTCCTCATATAGGATTTCATCTCTGGGTATAAAGCAAGTGTAAAAACAACAAAGCAGAGAGTAGTTTGGCTAATGGGTCAAGCTATCACCGCTTTTGTATTCAAATCCCCTGCTTAATATTTGTCTCCCATGTTATACAGAAATAGAGAATCCGCCCCAGCATGATACGTGAATATTCATTCACTTATCTACAGTTTTGATAGTTGTACTCCGAGCACCGCACAGCTAGTCCCAACAACATCAGCAGAATTACTTGCGAAGTCAAGTGCTACTAACCAGAGGAAAGATGCTGAAATCTGGATATTTCTAGAAAACCAGAGACTCTTAAGTGTAGATATGCATTTGTCCTGTTGCCCTGTCTTTGCTTCAACCCCGTGTGAGAGTTGTGTAGTAGGCACCACGTTCATGCTACGGTCCCTATAGCACCATAGATATTGTTGATGCTAAAGTGTACCAAAACCCTTTTAAATTCAGCTTGCTTTTGAATGAAGGGACCCAAATGTTCCCTTCCCACTCCTGATTATTTGTCATATAGATGAAAAATGGTGAGAAGATGGAGACCTGTTCAAAGAAAAATCTTATTTGGTATTTTTACAACTGTCAGCTGCTTTCTTCCATTCAAGTAGCAGGTTTGAGTTTGCTAGACAACCTTTGGGGAACTCTCACAGCCTGTTTACCCCTGTTACCATGATCTTTCCCATCTTAATCCAAGGGCGGAAAGGACTGAACCTTTAACAAAGATGCCCTTTCTCCAAATCAATCGCTAGTACGTCATTGCTGTTCAACAACATTACCAAAAAAAAGAGTCTGAAACACACTGACTAAAAATCTCTGCCTCTCCCTATCACTTGAAGATCAGTCTCTTAATTCTTTTAATATTATTTCCGCTACTTCTCTTGTCATCAGAGTTTTCCAGGACAGGACAAAGTCTGAATTTCTAATGCAAAAAGACCCCCTCCTGCCACCTGGATTTACAGAAACTTTCTAAGCATTTATATAGCTGAAGCATGAAACGATCAGAAACCCCATATCTCCCCATAATAAACATCTGCAAACTTTAATTGACAGCTTCCCTGTACCGTAGAAATCCTACACTGCCAATAGCACTATAATCAATGTAAAACGGCTTGGGTGTTTTTTTGCACCTCTTTCAGATCAAGTCACTCCCTAGATTACAGACCCAAATTCTGGCACATGGGCTGGGGAGGTTATTACGCAGGCAGCTTTGTGGGTGGGAAGTTCAGAAAAAATACACTGCAAGTATCACATGGGCAGTAACAGAAGGTGAAATCTTAGAAGTTTAATTGGAAATGAATGCAATGAGTATAGGCCACAAAATGCTTCAGGAGAGACGTTTTCACAAGGATCTGCAGTTTTGTCTGTCCCAACAAGAGTCCACTAAAATTCAGCTAAACTGAATTCAGGCCCCTTTAAGTCTAAGTGCAGTTTAATGTGCTCCAATTTATTTAGATCTTTAGTTAATTTGGATTAACTTTCCTGGTTGGTCCTATGTTGACAGGCTCTGAGACTCCAGCTGTGGAGTTTAGGAACTGGAATCAAAAGGGCAAATGCATCAGATCCTATAGATGGGAGAATCGCCAGGAAGCACAGGCTTGGCTCTGTATCCTTCCCTCTCAGACTTAAGGGTAGGGAGTCAATGCTAGGCAGGATATGAATTACTATGCGGTGGAGACCTGTGTGCCAATGTGCTGTGTCTGGGCACCGATGGGCGGGAGCACTGCACTTTGCCTCCGAGAGCTCATCTGCAGCCCCCCGTGCTGTCCTCACTTACTGTACTTCTATAATGCGTGGCGTGTGCACACCTCTGCTATTCAAATGCATTACTGATGAGCAAGCACTAGGATACTGGGTCAGGGTTTCTTCCCCTGAACCTGAAACCTTGTGGCTTTCAATCAAGCGAGAGCAGATGTTTGCAGAGAGGGAGGTAGGGCAGCCCTACAACTGTCCTGCCCAAACCTGTTGAGTCTGAGTCAGCTCCTCTCCCTTACTGATGATTAATTAGGAAAGATGAACACAGCTTGGGAGATAACCTGACATTTCGGATGTTACTAGGAGCTGTCATGGATCCCATTGCACCAGCCGTTGTTGCCCAGCATGTATCACATGGGCTCACGATGTTGGCTGGTTATGGGGTGCACAATGCGTGGACCTAAGGGAGTTGCATTAGATCACACTGCTGGCTGGGCATTTGGGTTCTGCCAAAACCCAGATAAGGGTTTATTGGCCACAGACCTTTTCCTATGGGTGGGCCAGACCAGTGCAAGACCTGTTTTGCAGTGATCAGTCCACTTCCCAGGCACAGAGAAAGCATAGAAGGCAATCAGCCATTGAAGTCGGTGGCTGTCTCTTTGTTCTGTGTTTGTCTAGAGACCAGCACTGTAGGACTCCAGTCGTAGTCCACGTTCCCACAGTAAAATAAAAGTGTGGCCATATCACGTGTAGCAAAGCTGTGCAACTAATTCAGCTGTAACAGGTAACAGAAGAGTAAAGTCTGGGCTTTAACTAGCCAAGCACAAAATCGTCAGGGATCTGGAGCATAAACTCTGCCAGCACACGCTAAAGCCTGTGTTGCCATGTCTCCCCTGGGATTGTAACTCCATCCAGTCTAGATTAAGCCAGCACAGGGAGAGAGGGGGGCAGAAATATGTGCTGCACTCACACCTTCGATATGCTATAGGGTAGGTGCGACTACAGCACAGGTTAATACAATAATTACACATTGAGCAAGCCTACAAATCCCAGGAGACTGCTAGCGATTGCTTTGGCTGTGATTTTGCTCTGCCTGGACATGGATCACAAGCTCAACACAAGTCATCTGATGCAAAGGCAATTTAGGGCTGCACAAATGCAAGACACAGGAGGGGATGGTACTACTTGGGGAGGCAGTGGCCAGGCCTTAGCTGGAGTGTTGTATCCACATCTGGTCACTGCGCTGTACGAAGGAGATGGAGAAACTGGAGAGAATCCAGATGCATCTGAGGAAGATGCTAAAGGGGTTTGGCGCACACCTGTGCGAGCAAAGGTTCAGGGGAACTGTGTCAAGTCTGGAGAAGAGGAGATTAAGGTGGGGACATCATAGCAGGGTTCGAGTATCTGGACAGCTGCTATAAAGAAGAGGGAAAACAACTGTTTTCTCTGGCTGCAGAGGGGAGGACACAAGGCAGTGGGTTTGAGCTGCTGCAAAACAGGTTTAACAGGAAATCTCAGGAAAAAACTCCCACATGGTAAGAACACTGCAGACTGGGATGAGCTGGAAAGGAGGGCCAATTTGGAGCCAGGGTTGGAGCTGAAAGCAGCTTCCCTCCCTCAAGCCTGAGCCCCAGAGAA